TGCAAAAAGTGATTGTCCGTGTTTATGTCAGATTATAGAAGGATCGTTCCACACCGATAAGCTGTCTGCTAATGTGTCTCGATATGTTTTTTCTGTATCGGCCTCGTGAGCACAGACAAATTATCTTAAAATGTCATATAATTTCAGATTAATTGGTCTTTCACCAGACTGTAGTAACACAATGTGTTTAATTTGCTAAAATAATGTCTCGTAGGGATCTCGTATTGGGATTATTTTGACAGATATGATTCACCATTAGTGTTGGAATAAACATTTTTGCATCACAAAAAACTATTAAAATGATGAGAATGTGACATTTTGGGGGGTCTGCATCTCTACAGCACTGCCGTACTTCATTATAATGATGTTTTCTTATGTCTTATTGTCTTTCCTCAACCAGGTGGACCTCATGAGGAGCTTCTCTTTCAGGAACTCCAAGGGCAGCTACAGAGGGATCCCCATCGTCGCTGCGAACATGGACACTGTGGGGACCTTTGAGATGGCCCTGGCTTTGCACCAGGTAGGTAATGCATCACATCAGGTGTGAATAAACCAGTTATTATTTCACAAAGAGCTTCATAGAGCACATAGGGTTAGAATCTATTTAATATTAGTGATTATTTTCTCTTGTACGAATCGTTTTGGGGTCAGTTAATCACCTTGTCGGAAGGAAAAACACCTAAAATAGTCCGAATACAACTAGATGAGCCTCAGTTTAATTTAAGCAGTGAACACTAATAATCCCTATATTACACAGCAGACTGATAAATGAGGACAGAGCCTATTGTCCTTCGCCAAATACCAGATTAAAAGCAAGAGGTGATCATGTTTTTCCGAGAAAAAGCAGCAACAAGGAACTTTCATTTTGTGTTGATTCTGGCGGCCCCCTGTGGACAAATGTGGTACTGCTTACCCCGCCTCATTTCATTGATTTCAAGGGGAATCTGAATAAGAATAACTATATAGAAATATATAATATAAACTGATGTAGGTCATGATAGAGGCCTTAGTGTTAAATGTTGTTTCAGTAACCAGGTTAAAAACTAAAACTACTTGTAGTAGGTTAAAGTATTGGTCGCTAGTGTGTAGCATCTTTTTCTACATCCTCGTACTGATAACAAATTACTTAACTCAGGGTCCCTTATTGGCCTTTTTAGCCACACCAAGATACTAACCACCACAAAAATAAAAACTCACTCATATATTCATTAGCTTTTCATTTGTTAACTCACTCAGTTAGAAAAGCTGCCCCCTAGTGGCCATTAGATGCCAGCGCACTGTCCACAGATGACACTGTGAACTAGAATTTGTTGTCTCTTCCACTAGTTCACTCTCTTCACCACGATTCACAAACATTACTCCGTGGACGACTGGGTGGAGTTTGCGGCGAAGCATCCCGAATGCGTGGAGGTACTCAAAGTGTTCATTATTACGTAACCCTTTTATTTAATTATTGCTAATGCTGGCATTTATTATAACACAACTCTCTCTTCACTCTGTTCGTCTCCCAGAGTGTAGCAGTGAGCACAGGGACCGGTGATGGTGACTTTGACAGGATGTCGGCTATCTTGGCGGCAGTGCCACAGCTGCAGTATATCTGTGTGGACGTGGCGAACGGCTACTCCGAACACTTTGTTCACTTTGTCAAAGACGTCAGGGGGAAGTTCCCCTCTCACACTATAATGGTCAGTAGGAAATGGACTTGTTAACACTTCTTTAATACGTAATCAGTAAAACATTTTTACTGTTATTTTTATTTCGCTCAGGCAGGAAACGTGGTGACAGGAGAGATGGTAGAAGAGCTGATCCTGGCTGGGGCTGACATCATCAAAGTCGGCATTGGACCAGGTGATCACAGCGTAACACATGATCACATCATCACCTCAAGATCACGTTAACACTGTCCCCATTTCTTTACACAGAAAGCATTAATGACACCTTTAAATGCATCACATCATACTGGATGTAATAATGCAATTTATAGAGCTGTGTTTAAAAATAACATGCTCGGTGTACCACAGGGGGGAGTCAGGGGAATTCCAACAGTCTTATTTATATCAAAATACATTTAACAGACTTTCCTGGATGAATATTTGTAGCCACCCCCGTTCATTCGGCACGTAAAGACCTCAAACACACCACAGACGATGCTTGCAAATGCGGTTTCCTGTTTGCAAATCGTTGACTGCGGACTACAAATCGTAAGAGTCATCTCTTGTCCCTCCGTCTTCCTCTCCAGGCTCAGTGTGTACCACCCGCAAGAAGACAGGGGTGGGCTACCCCCAGCTCAGTGCTGTGATTGAGTGTGCGGATGCAGCTCATGGTTTGGGTGGCCACATCATCTCTGTGAGTCTCTTACGATAATCCACTGATTTAATCTGAATTTCTACACAATTCCTGTTGTCTAGAATTAACGTTTAAGGAGTCGTTTGACCTTTTCTGGAAATATTGTTATTTGGTTTCTTGTTGAGAGTTAGATGAAAACATTGATACCACTTGCTGCCTTCGCTCAATATGAAGCCCCAGTCAGTTAGAGTTAGAGTGTCTCTAAAGCTCACTGTGTGCGGGACTATTTCTTGGCTGGATGCAGTGATTTGTAGTGAGTTTTGTTGTATGTGGAACAAAATCAACCATTGAAAAAACACAAATTGTCATTATTACTGTTTGGATTAAACAAACAAGATATAACGTATTAATTAGTGAACTTTAGAGGTGCAGTTAGGTCACATTTGTGCTATCGATCTTCTCATCTAACTCTCTGCAAGAAAGAACTATTCCTTTCCTTTATCCCTTTAAACTGAGAAAATGTTATTCATCTATTTTAAATTTCTCATGTTACTTTGTATAATTCCACCGACTCTTCTCTCCCCAAGGCCAGTGTGACTTGTTTTCGTGTATTTCACCCTGAGAATGTGCAACTCTATCAACTCTATCTTTTGTCTCCAGGCTGTACATGTACCCAAGCAGAGTGATAAACACAGTCACACTCATAACATGGTGTTCTGTTTCGTCTTTTCCCCTCTCTTCTCTTTCACACAGGATGGGGGATGTACTTGCCCGGGAGATGTCTCAAAGGCTTTTGGTGAGTTTTAGTATTTTCAAAATAGCACTTTTTTTTCTTTTTCTATTAAAAACACCACATCTCTCACCAGTCATTTGGCTCTTTTTTTCTGTGACTCTCAGGTGCCGGAGCTGACTTTGTGATGCTGGGCGGTATGCTCGCTGGCCACTCGGAAAGCGGGGGCGAGGTTATTGAGAAAAACGGCAAAAAATACAAGCTGTTCTATGGAATGAGCTCCGACACGGCAATGAAGAGACATGCAGGAGGCGTGGCTGAGTACAGGTCAGAATCACACTTACTTGTTTGCTTGTATAAGGGGGAAATAGTTTGTATTTAGCCCTGGTGTGTACAGAGTGTACCATATTTACACTGTCTCCTCTGTGTGTTTTCTGCCTCCAGAGCGTCAGAGGGGAAGACAGTCGAAGTTCCTTACAAAGGTCCGGTGGATGTTACAATACGAGATATCCTGGGCGGGGTCCGCTCCACCTGCACCTACGTTGGGGCAGGCAAGCTGAAGGAGCTGAGCCGCAGGACGACCTTCATCAGGGTCACCCAGCAGCTCAACACTGTCTTCGGCAACGATAGCTGAGTGTCAGCTCGATCCTGCTTTAGATGGAAGGATAAGTCTGCAAAACACTGCCTGTTTGACTCACGAATGCTGTTTGTTCATTGACCATGTGTAAACACAAGTGAACAACAGACATGCATATTAATACTTAAATACTGCCCTTTTACAATCCTTATTAGTTTTTGTTTTTAAGGTTCCTCCACTTGAAATATCAATGCAATTTTAGTATACTGATTCTTGACTTCACTGACATTAACAGAAATATTTTTCAGCGCACAGACTCTGGGTCGCTTTAGACTCTGAATGTTACTCTTTCAGCGGTCAGTGTGTCACTAGACTGTACGATGTGAGCTTGAGCAGTAAGTCTCCAGCTCTCATCATCCCAATGCAAGGTCCTTGGTTGTTCTTTTTACATATATGCAAATCTGTCTATAAAACAGTTTCTACGACATGTGTCTGTGCTCTGTACCGACGACATCATACTGTAAACCTTTCTCACCCACTGATAAAATGATAGCAAATGTCTTAAATTATTTAAAAAGCCTAAATATGCATACAGCTGCTGTGGCTAATTAGGATTTTAAACGGTTAAACTGAAATTCAATCATTCCTTCACTTGCACTTTAATAATTGGTAATTTTAATATTTAGTTTCTGTTTTAATCTCATAGTCATGTTTTTAAACTACTGTCATACATTGTTTGAAGCACCTACTACTGCAGATATCTTGCATAATTAAGTTTTTTTATATAGTAGGTAAAATTAGAAGGGATTTATACATGGACCAATACATACTTAATGATAAAGTACAGTACTAAGAGCATATACAGTATATAATAATGCTGACTTCATAGCAGAGGTGTTATTCAATATAAACATATGTGCCAGTTTTTCTCTTCTCTGGTTCTAGCTGCTCCTGGTCAATACCAAAGTTTGTGAGGGTTTATTTTAGTGATGTACACATTTATATACATTTATGAGACATTAAAACTCATAAATCAAGTGGTAATTTCTTACAGTTAACCTTGTTTTACACCATCAGTCAGGTGTGGTTTCATTCCACACACTGTCTGTAGTTACTCCATTTCAAGCTGTTCTTACATGCTCTGTGTTGTTTCATTTGTTTCACTTCATGATTGAACCAGTCAATAAAAACATTCCACATCTTAAAATCTTACTGGCTTTATTATTGATCAGAGCGTTCACAATGTATGAACGATACAAAAAACACAATCCTTGTTGCCATTGTGACTTAATAAGACCCATGCACTGTTCGATAACTGTACTGTGTGAGAGCAGTGACACATTTACCACCAGTAGATGGAAGCAAACACTTTAAACTATGAAGGAGAAATAAGTGGAAACAATGAAGTTCAAACAAAATGATCTTGTTGCGTACATAAGAAGCAACTCCAGAGACAAAATCATATCATTGCAATTAAGATACATTCAGCTGAAGATATTACATTACCTATAATGTATTTTTTACTCTAAAAACAACCACAACATGCACTTAATACTGATATTTTCACTAATAGCATTATATTTTCATTTGACAGCAACCTAACACAAATCAGTGAGATTTATATTCATCCAATGAAAGCAAAAAGACATTATTACAGTACCTATTTGTTGCTGTGAACTTAGCTTTGTATGATGATTAGCAATGATCAGTGGTGTCCCAAAATTCACACAAGTTCACAAACCATCTCTGTGGTGCATATGCCACCAATAAATGCTCCACAGGAACAATTAGACTGGTGAGAGAATAAGGAACAACCATCGCTGTATTGATTGCCGCTTTTGCGATAAGTCTTCCCACAGGGGCACTGCCATTGCTGCTGGGACACATTTTGGCCATTTTCCTTTGTTACTTGAACAAAGGGGACCAGGTCCCAGTTGTTGAGGCTCATCTTGATTGTGATTATTTCTTCCCTCTGGTACTGTCCGGTTCTGCTGAAGAAGGACAGCGTGGAAGCAGGAAAGTTCCAAAACACTTCCACCTTTTCAAGCTGTGGTACGTCCTCATCTCCATTCATGTCCTGATATGTGACTAATTCAGAGGAAACTTTGTATTTTTTCTCTGTTTTGGTCATATCAGCTTTCTGCAGCCCAACCCCTCGTGGTTTCACTGATGCATCACAACAATCATCAA